TTTTTTTAGGACAGGGTCTTGCTATGTAGTTCAGACTGGCCTTTAACTCATGGCAATCCTGCTTCAGCCTCCCAAGTACTGATCATAGGAATGTGCCACACCTGTAATTTTTGACCGTTAAGTCCCCAACTTATGATGAAGTTCAATTCTGAGAGAATTATTGGATTTGTTTGTAAGTACACTTGTGAAAGTTTGCAACTTGAACTTTTTCCATTGTTTATTGGTACATTTTGGATATACAATAGTTACATTTTACCATTAGGATCTTGTACCTTTACATGATGTAACTTTGTTCGTTTCCACATTCCCCTGCCCTCCCTTCACTCCCTCCACCCTTATCTATTTACAAAGACTTTGTTTCCATTTTTCCCTTTTCTCATATTTTTTTTCCCTTCTTGCCTTTCCCCTATCCCTTCCACTTCCCTACTCCTTTAGACTGCAACTTGAAGTTCTTGAGGACTTAGTGCCTTTTAAGGCACACTACTTTTATGTTCTTCTCTATTAACTTAAATGCTCTGCTCTCAAGAATTTCGGGATAAAAGCAGTCTCCCAAATCCCAAATCCGTTGTCCCACCAGTTTTAAAGTAACTTCTTTCAACTTGGTACAGAATAGATCACTTAACACAGAAGGAAAATAAAAAGGCTTAAGTGTCAGGCAGCTTATATAGTAGTTTGCATCTCTCCAAACCACAGGTCTGTTTCCTTTGGTTTGATGTTTAGGGGCAAGGAGGCCACTATAGCTCTTACCTACTCAAAGAGGTGATATTATTTTGTGAGACAGATTGCCACTATGTAGTCCTTAACTGCCCTGTAACGTGCTATGTGGTTCAGATCCCTGAACACTTGACCCTCCTGCCTTAGGCTCACATAGCTTGTTAATTTTGTTGGAGGGTGGTGGCAGGGTTGAGACAGGAACAAGTGGCAGAATTTAGATTGTCCTGAGAATAAACTCATGACTTACTCCTCTTACGTGCTCTTAGTTTTTAAGAATCTTCAGTCTTTCTGAGCTACTCTTGGGCTTGATCTTAGGCAGTCCTGAATTCTCTAATGTCCATAGCTGGGCAGATTCTGCTTGACAGCATTTCTAATACACTTTGCCCTGGGTACGGGTGAAGACCTAATTATCTCATGTCCTAGCACCTGTCTTACACCAGCTAAGTCTAAACACTCTTTTCTTTGGGAAAATCCTGCTTAACTTTTCAAGTCTAATCTGAATGATTCTGTAAAACCAGGCTTGTCCATCTACATTCTGACTCACCTCACTGTATTTGTATTTTTCACCATTTTTTTACCACAACCAGCAATAAAGTTTACATCATAGTGTGGTACACATGGGCATGCTTATCTACAGGCACATGCCCATGTTGTAATTTAAAAATACATTGCCAATGTTACAGAACTGTTTTTCTTAGTTTCTTGGTACTGGATTGAACCCTGCACCTTGCACTAGGTGTTGTTCCCACCCTTTTTTTTTCAGATAGGATGGATCTTGGTTAGGTTACTGAAGCCAGCCTTACAGTTGCAATCCTCCTGCTCAGTCACCCAAGTAGCTGGGATTCCAGGGATACACCACTTGTCCAGTTTCAATTTTCTGAACCATTTCTTCAAGAATCTTTGAAAGTGACTTCAGTCGCTGCCATCAAAAACCACCTTATTTGATAGAATATGGTTGCAGAACAATGTATCTGTAACATTTCCCCAAGCCCAGTACTTGATGTTGTATTTAAACTGCATCTCAGGACACCAGAAAAGTCAGGTTTTAACATTTAAGGTTTTAAGCCTCTGCAAAGGTTGAAGCATTTATTAAATCCATTCAGCATTTACCAATACCTAAGTGCTAGATTTGAGTTTAATTCTATATCCATTTGAGGTTTTTTGATCCTGTTGTTTTTAGCTTGAATAAAACTGTACTACATTTTATTGTTAAGAGTTCTTGATGATGCTGAAATGTTGTGTAGCTTAAAACTTCACACACTGGTAACTGAAATCTGAGGCAATCTAGAAGTTTATTCCATATATATTAAGAATCTTCCCTCTTCCCTTCCCACTCTAAGGAAGTCCTTACTTCCATTTGCTGTTACAAAAGCCACTAAGAAAGTTTCATTATCCACAGTCCACACTTTGTAGCTTTTTCCCCCTCCTTTTAGCAGTATTGGGGATTGTACCTTTGCAATGAAATACATTCCTACCCTCTCTCTTCCCTTTTTATGAGACAGGGTCACCGACAAGGCTCAAACATAAAACCCTCCTGCTTCAACCTCCTAGAGTGCTGAGATATAGGTGTACATCACCATGCCCAGCTTTCAGAGTCTGTAAAAACAATACCAGAATTAAACATTTTAAAAAACAATAATAATGGAAGCCGGGAATGGTGGCATACACCTGTAATCCTAACAACTGCCTTGAGTTTGAGGCCAGCCTGAACTACACAGTGAAACTGTCTCAAAAAAGAAAATACACATATATATCGTTTAGTCTTTATCAGCTGTGTACCCTAAAGCTGTCATTATCTCTAATCAATTCTACAATGTGTAACTATTCACATCTACACATTCTTTTTTTTTTCTTGGTACCGGGGATCAAACTCTCGCCCTTGTGCTTGCAAGGCAGGCAGCGGAACCACTAAGCCAAGTCCCCGGCCCCACATCTACACATTCTTTAAGTTTTAGGATAGACATTCTTTTTTTTCTTGGTACCGGGGATCAAACTCAGGCCCTTGTGCTTGCAAGGCAGGCAGCGGAACCACTAAGCCAAGTCCCCGGCCCCACATCTACACATTCTTTAAGTTTTAGGATAGTATTGATCAAAGAGCAACTGTGATGTAATTTATGAAAATCTTTTAAGAGCTCAGAAGCAACAGCAGCATATAGGCCAGCAAAGGCTGCTAAGCATCAGAATGCTGATGCTGACAGTGTGAGCACCCTTCGGGTGTGGCAGGGCTTATCTGTCGACAAGAACCATGGACCTCATGTGTGCTTTTGTCAGAAGAGATGAGATGGCAGTGCTGCTGCTTAAATGGGATCTCTTGAGTGACACTCTTGACAGATGGTTTAATAAAGTAAATTAGGAGCTTGATGTAAAATCAGTATTGTGTCCATTGCATTTCATAGTGCCAAATTCACCAAATCTGCATCCCCTTTCTTCATATCACGGTTGAATATTCATTTGCCATCAATGTCACTGTCACTGCTGCTGTCACTAACCAATGCAGTTAGGTTGCCCAAGGCCTCTCTGTAAGGAAAAGTTACTGGAGGTTACACTATAGCTCGTCAGGGGTTGGGTGCTTGATGTTTCAGACACTCAATGCATAATCTCATCAGGCTGCACTCACCTACATTAAGGGCAAAGAGCATCCAACAGCCCCATCTATGGGTTCTGCTGACTCATATGACAATGAAGCAATCATTAAATCGCTACATCCTTTTTGTAAGAAAACGGAATACAGGGAGGAGAGAGAGAGAGAGAGATTGCCATCTGACTGGGAGGAAGACAAGCCCTGCTCCTTCATGGTAAAGACTCAAGCCCCACTTACTTTTGTTCTGGGTCCATTGCAAATTCCGCCACTGCTCTCTTGGTGAGATTCTCACAAACAGGCAAGCTGAAGGCGCTTGCCAGCTTCACAACCTCAATGGCCTCAGCAGGACTGTTGCGTAATTTTGCACTGTCTATAAATTCATTCAGCAGTTCACTTCTGTTGTTTGAAAGGGAAAATACAAAGTTTCCAACTGGAACCCTTTAGTCAAAGGCTTACCTGCAAAATTCAGATTAAGTTTACTACTAAAACCTGCAAATGGTAGCTCTGGAGTCAAGTTACATGAAGTCTAAAGGCCCAGACAGACACTGAATATTAGCTGAATATACCTTCACTGAGGATGTACTCAAAATATCCCCAGTGTATCACAATCACTGAACACAGGTGAAAAACTGCTTGTCTCAGGATGCCCTGGACAGGAGACTGGTTTGCTTCCTAAACAGAGCACTCAAATGCAGGAGCTGAGGTATGTGAACAAAATGCAATCACCACAAGAGTCCAGATCATCTAATTCCAGTCTATACCAGGTGAGTCCTATTAATGTTCACTTACCTGGGGATTTTATTATGCTTCCTGAAAAGTCCCAACATCTTCCTGTGCAAGAGGAGATAGAAGAGTCACTATAAATACTGAGCAAAACAAGGCTATCAGATGAAGCTGTTCTCTCTGGGGTCAGAGACTAAAACCCCTTTTCATACTGTAAGCTCCTGAAGATGTCCATCTGTGGGCTCCACTGGCTCCCAGCCCTGCCTGTATGTAGTAGTCAGCTCAGGGGCTTAAGCCCACCCTCAACTGCACACATCTACATTAGATGTCAGTGTTGAGAACCAGAGAGAACACACCTATATCCTCTGCAGCTGAAGAGAGCCACGAGGCACACACAGCCTGGCCTCCCCTCCTGTAACACAGCATAGGTCTGTCCTAAAACTGTTATAAAGAGCAGGCTCAGATCGAGGCAAGTCTCATGTAAGTGCACGCCATCAACCTGCCACATGCAGGACAAAGGCGGAACACATACATTCAGCTCCCATGATTCAGCTGAGGTCCGTACCCCTGCGCCAATCATCACAGCCTGATTCACAGCAACTGTGCTAACCTACCTGAGCACATGCAAATACTAGGTTTGTCACTAGCAGTGAAGGTGCTAGCTGGTCATATGTGTTGAGTGAGCCACACTTCTAAGTTGTAGCATTTTTATCTGGAGATAATTTAACAGCCATATTTTAAACTGGTAATCAGATATTCAAGTTATTTTCTTAGGCAAGAAGCCATGCACAATGCACCCCAACACCCCAAAACACATATTTACAGCCAACATGAACTAGAGCAGAACTATTACTACCCCTACAAAGTATCCTTTTGTTGACTTCTCACTTTTGGAAAATGAATATGCATAAGGTTCCCATCAAAATGGTTTCTAGTCAAGGCTATGTTTAGTTTGGGCTATTATTTTCAATTAAAAAGAGGGGCGTGAGAGGAACACTCAAATAACCACCCAGGGACCAAAACATTAAAGAAAATGGCTTTTTGGTCACTATTCCATTTACATAAGATGACAAGTGACGTTAAGTGACTTGTCCAGTGACTGAAAACAGGTAAAAAATGGAAAGACTATACTCAGCCCACCTGAATCATGCATGCCCTCTTCTAAAATACTATGTATTACGCATATGGCTCTTCTTCCAAAAATTTGCTTTTTAGCTAGTATTTTGCAAGTTCCCATTGAAAATTCACTATGCATTCTAGTTGGCCCTTGAGTAAACAACACATCATACAGCCAAATTAGAGAACTAGGTAAATGTCCTAGACTCAAGCAGGAATGCTACTATCTCACACTCATAGTCTGTACTCACCAGGCTTCCTGAGCTCTCTCAGCCCTTAAAAAGAGGACAGCTATATAGTTGAGAACAGTGGATGGCCAACTAGAAGCAGCTTTTTTGGCTTCTTGGCTTTCATAAGTAGATTTGATGTCAGCAGCACAATCAGCAAACGCCACCTGAAGCTGAGAAGCTCTAAGAGTCAACAGAACCGCTGAGCTGGTGTGATGGTAATTCAAGTTCACAAGATAACATTTTACCATGTGAATATATCACATATACGGCACATACATAATACAGTAAAAAGAACAAAGGGCCCTGTTCTGGGATAATGTGATTAGCCACATCTGGCAAATTCAACGATGCATTTTCTTTTTATATGGTTCAGGATAGGGAGAAGCTATTTTCCTGCAGCTTCCTTTGAACTAGAGGAAACAGTGAGTTTAGGACTGGCATTCTGCTAGCACCAAGATGTTTAGATGTATCATAACCTAAATCTGAGTTTGGGAGGCAGAACTCTCCACAATGACAGAAGAAACCAGAGAAACTACCCTGTGCAAGGACCTCAGTGTTTGAGGATTTTTGGGAAAGTATGCATCTAATAATAATAATGAAACTTGAGCTTCAAGACAGTCCTACCTGTGGTGGGTGTTTATCCCTGGCCATGAGCATCAGGATTTCTTCTCTTAGGTCACTGCGAAATGTGTGACCATATTCTTTACTATCTTAAAACAAAAAAGAATCATAAAGATGCTAAACTTTTTGGCATTGTTCAATGTCAGTTGTTAACCTTATTGTTCAGAACACAAAAAAAGTTGCTAATATTTTCTATTTTGAGTTTATCCTAGGATTCCAGAAAACCAACAAAATGATCAGTAGTGCGAACAAATGAAGTGTAGTGAAGGCACTTGCTTCTGGTTATGTGTTAAATACAACACATGCATTACATCTGGGTAGCCCCCAGCTCCATTTGCATCATTTGGAAACATTTCAGTGTTCTCTTACATACAGACATTACAGCAGTCTTGTGCAGTGGCAGGACAGGACTGCAGTCCATTACACAGAAACAGAGGCAGCTGAAATGGACTTTATGGTAATTCAGTCACTTAGTAAAAGAGTATATGTATCTCCTCTTGCAGCCTATTTATACACACAGATTAGACCAACACACATTCATGCCATTGCTGTTCTTGAGAAACATGGTTATCACAGAAGTAAAATGACACAAGAGTGTACAGAGGAGCAGCCTGTGCTTTAATAAGGTCACAGACCTGCACTGAGACTAAGAGTCTGCCACATAAGTAGCACTAATCTTCTCTGCATCACATTACAGAAGAGTCGCACAAAACTGAATTTAATTCAAATGTCACAAAGGGACAAAGACAGGTCATTTTCAAAGTTTTACTCATATAATCCTATATGTGACATGAGCAAGTGATGAAAGGGACCTCAACTAATGTATTCAACCAAGCCCAAGATGGAAATTTTATCCCTAACAATAATGTTAACATGTTAATCTATAGGATACTAAAGAAACAAACACAGTCCCAACACTAACCTTTCCAAATCTGAGGAATCATTTCCAGACGGTTGGCCACATCCAAAGCCTGGAGAAGAGCTATCAGTATTTGGGAATGGGGAAAGAACACCTGATTAGGAGATACACAAATACAATTTTAAATCATTAGTCAGCAAAGATACCTACAAATTCATATACAATGATAAATGATAACTCATGAACCAGCTTACCGAAGGCATCAGGTCTTTATACCACTTTAAGGTGATATCAATTTGTTCCATGAGACAAAGCAAACTGAAAAATCTGGAACTGTAACAGAGAGAAAAGGCAGGTTTATTCTAAAATCTCTTATCTAAAAACAAAAGTTAGGATTAGTGAAATTGTGTATATTAATATTTACAATTTCAAGTTACACGGGCCAGGGCTTGACTCAAGAGATGATAACTGGGGCTAATGTCTCAATTACAACCTTCCAGCCCCTGAACTGGTCATTTGCAGAATCTACTAACAACAAAAGGATACATTTCCAAGCACACTTACTAATAGAAATTACGCTGATTATCAGATCCAATGAATTTCCAGTTGTCTCCCGTGTTTAAAAGGCCGTGCACTTGGTAAGCAAGGTCTAGATCTCTGAGGGATGAGCACTGCAAATTTGCAAATAGTATTACTCTTGACATTCTTAGAAGCCTCCAGTGGCTTCTAAGTGGCTCATTACATAAAGAAAAAAAGTATTTAGTTTCTTGGGAAATACTTATATTGATTCAACTTATTGTTTGACAGCAAGTAAGTTTGAACTGGGGGAAAAATAAATTTTGCAAAATTTACAACAAAATTATTGTGACCTAACACTATACCTTTAGAAGTAAATACTACAAAAAAACAGCACATGGTGTGCCCACAGGCCAGCATCACATTAACCCCATGAAATGTCACCAAAAAATCACCTACAGAATACAATTCTTAGATACTATGAAACACTAATTCTGATCAACAATTGTGTCACCATGGCAGTTTGTCTGACTCTGTATACTTTTTAGTACAAAAAGGAAAACACCTGGAAGTATACACAGAATTGCAAAGCAATTATCTTTCTGATGCAAGATACACTTTATTCACCCTGAAACTGCATGACACTTTTCTAAAATTAAAAGCTAAAATTAAAATTAATTTTAAAAAGTTAACTAGCCAAGCAAGGTGGTAAACACTTCTGATCCCAGCACTTGGGAAGCTGAAGCAGGAGAATGATGAGTTAAAAGGCCAACCTGGACTACATAGTAACATTTTGTCTTTTAAAAAATTAAATTTCAGGGGCTGGGAACTTAGCTCAGTGGTTCCGCTGCCTGCTTCGCAAGTGCAAGGTCCAGAGTTTGATCACCAGTAACAAAAAAGAAAAAAAATTAAATTAAAAAATGTTAACAGGCAAATATGCAGTATTTCAAAAGCTTATTGAGCAGGCATAAAAAAAGGCAATGTTTATAATAAACAGAGGGTAGGAATGTCACAATTTACAAGCAGATTTGAAGGAAAGCAAAATAGAAGCGAAGACATGAACAAAAGTTAAGAGGCAGAAAGTAAGAGAACCTTCTAATTACAGTTAAATTCAGGAAATGGAAAGTAATAATCTTTAAAATCAGGACTATGAAGTTAAACAAAAAATGGTACTTACAACATTCATTGCCGTCTGAAAAAACTTATCTGGAAGTCAAAGTTCACAAGAGTTTTTTTTACTAAGAAATGAAATATGTTTTCAAGTACATAAACTAATAAAAACCCTGCAGACAAAATAGATCACTTGTTTTTAAAAACAAGGAATAAAGCTAGAAAAATAAAAAGAGACAGAAATTTTGTCTTTCACACAATAATCACCCAAAAGATTACTAAGAAAATTAAACCCCTTCCTCATCACAAAAGGCCTCTAATAGCTGGCACTCAGGCAAATGGTTTTGTCTTTAATGGGAAACACACCAAATTTCTGAACATACCGTCATCCAGATCCATTGGAGAAAAATTCTTTCCCACCAATTCATCCATTATACTGTAGATGATGAGAGAGTGTCCCTTTAAAGAGCTTGCTGCAGAATAAGAAAGCAAATGGGTTTTTTCAAGGGTTCACTTCTTGCAACACTACCAAATTCATAACACCTTGTGAAACACAAACCTCCTGAGTCTAAGGGCTGGCAAAGAGCTAAACAGGGGCAACACTTATTAAAGGAAATACTGCACTCCCCAGAGTGCAATTCGAAGAGCTGAAACAGTCACAAGGTCTCTGTCCACGTAGCCAATCAGACTTGGCCCTGCTCCTTCTTAGTCTCTTCATGAGAAGCCTGATTCTTACCGGAGTAGGGATAAACACCAGCACACACAGAGTCCTCAAGAAACCAATACACTTAGAAAAACATGTTATTTGCTAGCAGTCACTCGTTTTCCTTTATAATCATGAGAAGACTGAGAAAAAGGAAATTACAGAATAGTTCTTAAAAAGATTAAATGAGCTAAGTACTAACAGGTCAAGAAAAATGACCTACAGTATGTCTAGTCAAATACTTTTTAACTTAATTTCCCTAACTTTTTCTATACCTTAGTGATAATACACTTGTAATAACTGCAGATATCGTTATAATTTCTTGAAGCCTATATACATTTGCTAACATTCCTATTTTATTAGATTCATTAAATTCTATTTTATGTTCATTTCTTTATTATTGTAGGCTCTCTCCTTTAGGTTAATTTTAGAAATAATCATAGTAGATAGCCAACTGATACAGAGAAACTACTTCTCTGCTTCCCAGCCACCATAGCCATGGGTGCTACTTAGGGTACTGACTTTGTTAACAACTGAACCAAAATAGTAACAGGATGGTACAGAGGAAAGCAACACACTCTGCTCAGAAACACTAGCATGGCTACAAACTCACCATTTGAGTGAGGATTCACTGGATATTACTATTTTTGAAATCATTTATCTATTATCAAGATATTCAATTTCCTGTTGGATTATTTTTCTTCATAAAAAAAAAGAAACTTGACTATAGCTAAAGGTATGGACCTTGCAAAATTAGCCCGCTAAATCAAGAGAGATTGGTTTCCTTACTACTGTTTTTATACAATCTATCACAGGAAAGAATAAGTAGTGCTGCACTAAGGTTTTTTCCTCATGCCGGGAATAAGATTAAGTGTCTATTATTGTACATGCCTTCTACACATGACACAAAGCACTGCATAATTCATTTATCACCACACCCATCTAGTCTCTTGACATAACTTCTAATGGGTAGAGGTGAAATGTCAACTCAGATGTGCCTGGCTCCAAAGTCCAGAGCTCCCACGGGAAGTAAATGACCTATAAATAGGTGACAAATGGAATCTGAGGTGCCCCAGATGCTTCAAACTTTTCTCTGGAGCAACACTGTCCACTGCTTTTCTACAAAGATGGAAATGTCCTATATCTACACCATTGAATATGTAGCCAGTAGACACAAAGGACTGCTGGGCCCTAATGCCACTAAGTGTTTTTATTTTTCTAAATCAGTCACACGTTATTAGTGACTATTATATGCATAGCAGAGCTTGAGAGACCAAACCCACTACAAACTAAAACACCTCTGCCCATTCTTCTTTGTCAAACAATGCCAGCACATCTGATAAACCTCTCCTCTGCAGCTCAAGTTGTACATGATGTTTGCATCACAAACTTGGTTACCACCACAAATAACATTTTGCTCAGGTTATAAATGTTACTTGTGATTTTCCCATTCTTAATTCAGATGCAGATAAGATAACCTGCAACAACCATACTCAGGGAGATGATCAATTTTCTACAAAAATTAAAATAATATAAAATAAAATACTTACCATGTTGATAAAACACCTGAATAAGATGATGATATGTTGCAAGTGAGGGTTCTCCAATCACCAGGTAGATAGAAAAAAGTAAAATAAAATAAAGTAAAACTATAGCTATCCAAACTTTAGCATTCTGAGGCACATTGAACTAAAAAACATATTAATGCTTTTATTTAAGCAGAAAAATGCATCTTTTGAAATAGATATTTTGTTTTTGCTTTGTTTTTTTTTGTTTTTTGAGACAGGGTTTCACTATGTAGTTGAGACTGACTTGGAACTCACTATGTAGCCCAGGCTGGTCTCGAACTCACAGCGATCTTCCTGCCTCAGCCTCCCAAGTGCTGGGATTACAGGCGTGTGCCACCACGCCCGGCCTGAAAGAGATTATTTTGAAGCCCATCTTGTTAATTTAATGTAAATAATTATGATTCTTCATTGAGAACAATAAAGCATAATGAAGTGAACTGATCTCCAAGCAATCTTATAAAAGTATTGAAATAAGACACACATTTGGGTTGAAATTAATGCTAGAGAAGTATCATGAAATTTAAAATCATCTAACTGAAAGGGGTCGATTCTCTTCAGAATAGGGTCTAGAGAAAGTATATTAAATACTAAAATAGCTTTGTAATTTTCTATAAAGAATATGAAGATACAGATGCTCCTATGAGTACAATTGTCCCTTGGCACCTAGGAATTCTCAAGTCTTTTAAATAAAGTGGCAAATAACTCATGTCTCATATACTCAAAATCATCCCTAGATGATCTGTAATATCTAATACAAATGGTACGTAAATAACTGTCATACGATACTGTTCAGAAACTGACAAAAAATTGTGTTTTCCAAATACTTCTGCTCCATGATTGACTAAATTTATGGATTGAATCAAAGGCAAACTGCACACGTGACTAAGTGTGCCAAATAATGGAAAGGAAATTCCCAACATATTGCAGTTATGCACATAGAAAAAGAAGTCATACATCTTCAGGGCTTATGTGCCCTGACACTTCTGGTTGGCAGTCTCTTGTCTTCAGCAAGGATTCTGGAGTGCACTCTCACCTATTCCAATGGCTTTCATTTCACGTAAGGTTTCTAAGGCTGGCAATTTTCCAAATGCGTGAAATCTTCGGAGACATTTTAGAATGGTATTAAAAGTTTGTAGATTTGGTTTCACTTTCTGTGCAACCATATGTTTCAGCAAACCCTAGGTGAATCAAAAGCAAGAAATAACTTTTATTCCTTGTTAATTAATTTGCCAAAATTTCATTTCATGTAAAAGGAGAAATTAGCTTTCTAGCTATGTTTGAAGAAGGCTAGTAACTACAGTACATCCCTAATTTATAACTATCTGCTAATTAGGACCAGTGATTCTGCATTTCAGAGAAGCCTTCTAAGACATTCACACATAAGGTGTCTAATTGTCTTCAGTCTTCTACCTATTTTCCAAAGAAGGAAAATACAAAAGGCAAAAGACTAAACCAGTATGGTATAAAAACATACTTATATCCCTAAGTTACTAGACAAGAATCAATCTATGATTTCAATTTAACTTACCTGACAGAAATTTGTAACAAAAAAACCCATTATGCAAAATGAAAAAAGTAACCCAGGTCTTCCTGAATTCTAGCTGTAGAATCTAGGTCAAGCAACTTGTTCTTCTCAGGTGTCAGGCACAGCCACTTAACTTACAGGGTTGCTGGAAGGTCAGTAAGCAGGTAACTGCTATCAGAGAGCAGTGTCTGCCACAGAGATTTCAATGAATGCTGTCTCCACCCGATGTAAAGGAGAGTTAAGGTCGACTAGAAGACAAATGAGGATTCCTCCTTACCAATATATTATTCCACCTCTCCTCAAGTTTCTCATTTACTATTGATGCTGTTGCTTCAATCAATGCATTAAAAGTGTGTACATCAGCTGTAAAAGAAAAAAGACAAAATGTGAGCCAATGACTGAGGCAGGACCCATAAGTTTTATACAAACTCTTAAGAAAAGGAAAGAGAAAGAAGGGATAAAAGGAATGTCTCAAACTCACCACGAAGTCTGTTGTTTAATAACTCAGTGTACAAGTTTAGTGCCTGTGCATGAGCTTGATGCTGAACAGGGGGAGGAAAAGCATTGTATAAAATTATTTTTGTACTATGTGTATAATGTATATGAAATTTAAACATGTCTTGTGTTGAAACTTGGCGTCATCGCCAACACATCTTATTATGTATATGCAAATACCCCAAATCCTTCATGTGAAACACCACTTTTGGCTCCAAGCATTTTAGTAAGGGGCACTCAACCTATAGCTATGAGGTTGAAAAACCCTGACTTAGTGGACCTTAAGGATAATAAGTAAAACAAGTGTACCTTCACCATTCCCCGGATCATTGTGCAGTAGGAATGTTCATTCTTCTCTGGCATTAGAGCAAATATTCGTTCAGCATTGTTATTTGTCCTAGAAATCAATAGAATAAGAATCAGGGAAAAAAGGAAAACTAATAAAAGCCACCACCACTACTGACAGTTTTCAATATTCCTGGCTATGTGTTAAGCACTTTTGGCACAGAATCTCAAATAATTTTTACTGTCCAGAGAGGGAAATATGGTTATCATCTTGAAAATGGGAAAGATCAAAGCTAAAAGACTTTTAAATTGCCAGCAGTACTGCAAATAAGAAACATAATGAGGATGGAAATGTTTATGAACAAGCAATAAATTCCCATGTACAATAACAAAAAGCAAACTGTACAACACTTGGACAGAACTCTCTAGAGGCAACCGGTAAAAATGGTTCCCTCTGAATCCTTTCATATTCTAGCCTAAGTACATATATCTCTTCTCCTATTACAAAAAAAAAAAAAAAAAAAAAAAAAAAAAAAAAAAAGCCAAGTTCCTACTCCAAAGTCTATGCATGCTCTTAGCTACTATTCAAAAGTACTAAAATCAACCAAGATATTTAATCTACCCTCCCATGACACTCATGGCTTCAAAATGGATTTTAGATAACAGTAGCTTTCTACATTGAAATATTTTTCTAGTTTATTTAGACACTCCTAAATTAAATTTTGACTGTAGTTAAATGTTATTTACCTTTTGTTCAGAACTACTCATGTCTGCTTGCTTGTCAAGTCTCCCCACCCCCACCAGTGCTGGTAACTGAACTGAGGGCCTTCTGCACACTAGGCTTACCCTCACCCAATTGAGCTATATCCTCAGCACTAGTCAGGTCTTAATTTGGCATGACATTCTAGTGTCTGTGTATTTATAGTAAACAAAACTATCAAAATTTCAGAATTAAGAATATTAAGGTAGCACTACTGATCAAACTATCAAAGGCCATCCCAATCAAGGATATGCCTAGTTAAATAAGGAAAAACAAAACAAGTGTCACTAAAAAGACTTTGTACTGCTGGCTGAAGGTAAAAGATCTTACGATCAAAGTTTCAAATCATATAAATAAAATGAAATTTGTCAGGCATGGTGGTGCACACCTGTAATCCCAGCTCTCAGAAGGCTGAGGCACAAGTATGACCACCAGTTCCGAGGCCAGCCTGGGCTACATAGCAAGTTCACAGGCAGCCTGAACTACAAAGTAAGACACTGTCACCAAAAAAAAAGTAATAAAAGCAAACTTTTTGTTTGTTTGTTTTGAGACAGGGTTTCACAAGGTATTCCAGGATGACCTCTAACTTGCTGACAAAACGTTCCTGCCTCAGCCCCCGAGTGTCAGTATGCAGGCATGCCCCATTCCACCTGGCTAGCAAATTCTAAACAAACTCACAAGATCACATCTTCTTCAGAGGTTGGTGGGGCATATTCTACACACTGTACAAAACAGAAACACAAGCCTCTAATCATGTGCAACTTACTTCCAAGTAATGGAGAACTGATGACCAGTCTTCCCCTTAGATTTTTCATTATTTTCCTCTGTGGCCTCTTCCTGGATTATCAAAAGAAACAAGAGAGAAGACAATGAAATGCATTCTCCTAGCCAGACTACTTAAAATTATAAAGGCAAAGAAAACTCATAAAAACAAGCTAAGATTAAAAAAAAAAAAAAAAAAAAAAAAAAAAGAGTAAACCTTGATCTTTTATTTCCAAGCCAGGCTCTAGGATGAGGCCACCCAGAGCTTGGCTGGCCCTATAGAACAGCACGGGTTCTCATTCTCTGCCTCAGGAGCTGTGGCCAGAGAGGCAGAGGGTCAGCCAGGACGGGCTTCAGGAGATGCTCTGAAAAGCAAGGTAACTTACAACCCACTATATATGAACTTTAGAAGACTTGAGTTACTCTGTATATAAATGATCCCTATTAATGCAGAGAAAAATACCAAGAAAAATATCAATAATCCTATCATCTAAAAAAGAATTTTTTAGCAGTATAGGGCATTGAAAAGGCTCTTCACACTGAACTACAACACCAGCCCCATTTATTTTGAGACAGGATTGCGAAATTGCCAAATTGGCCAGGCTGACCTTGAACTTGCAATTTCTCTGCCTCAGCCTCCCAGAGTGTGGAGATTTATCATGTGTCACCATGCCTAAGAAATACTTTTTTTTTTTGGTGGGGGTTACCAAGGGATTGAACTAGGGTCCATGCGCTTTTGAGGTAGGCAGCAGAACTACTGAGCTAAATGCCTGGCCTTGAGAAATACTTTTAATGACTTTTTTCTTATGCATATAAAACAAAACAAACAGAAAAGGGAATATATATACAGGTTGTATATCTTATCTGAAATGAGTATTTCAAATCTGTTAAATTTTGGAATACATGCATATACATGTGATACCTTGGGAATGAGACATGAAATTCACGTTTCATACACCCCTAGTACATATGATATAACTTTATGTATTAGTGTGCGTCAGTTTTGATGGCAAACAGTCACATGAGGTCAGTGTGGTATTTTCTACCTAATGGCGCTCAAAGTTTGAGTATTTAAGTAATTTGGCTTCAAAAATTTTATTAGGGATTTCAGATTAACAATGTTCAACCTGTGCATGGTTGTACAGATTGTTTTCCTCTTAAACAATCTTTCTATATTCGAACAAAAGTGTATCTAGTGTTCTCAATGGCTACTCAATCCTCTTACCATAATTTGAACATCCACTATTGGACATTTAGATTGTTTTCAGTATCTTTACAAGTATAAGATCCATATTACAAAAAATGACACACAACACACACACACACATAAATATATATATATATATAAAACACACACCATATATACACACACACACACGCACAAAAAAAATATATATATATGGTGAAATACATATATGGGGTGTGTGTGTGTGTGTTCATGCTACTCAAAGGATTCTCCGAAATAAATGAAAATTTTTTTTGGTACCAGAAATCAAATTTGGGACCTTGCACTTCCCAGGCATAACCACTGAGCTAAATCCCCAACCCTATAAATGAAATTTTTGAGTTTTGAGACACAGGATATGACTCGACCAACAGGTAGCCTATGGCACAATTCCTCCAGCCTAGTATGCCCCCACTCCTTACATACTTGTATGTATGAATTTTTGAGGAGGTTCAGCCATGGAGTCTTTCTGTGTAGGACCATTATAATCATGCTGTCCCCATGACAGAAGGGCTCACCCAAACAGTTCTGGTCAAAGTTTTGTGTGAATATGTGACAAATGAGGACAAAATATTCTAAGTGGGATTCTAGGGTTAACATAATTGTTTAAAACTCTCATTTCCTCCAGCATCACTTTTTATCATGGCTATTGCACCAAATCTCAATACAGTCAACTTACTGCTACAGTGACATATGTTCTAGTTTGAGAAGGTATTGCTTAAACTAAAAAAAATGTCAAAAGCTATTACCAATTCTTCTGACTGTTCAGTCTGTTGAAAATTATATTCAGCTGGGGGCTCTTCATCACTATAGTAACACAATAAATCCAAGAGACTATTAGTTGTTTCAAGAGAAACAGTGGTTCCTGTGGATAGGAGAAAAGAAAGAAACATTAAACTGTCAAGAACTAAAGCCTGTTATGTAAAAAATTTTCACTCTTTGTTATTAGCAGTGACATTTTTGGTGACATACTTAACATCATTTACCACTTTATCAATTAATGACTATGCTCTCAACACAGACCCAAATATAAGAATAAGAACAGGAACAAACCCTCAACTAACAGTGTAATATGACAGAAAACATTAAAATATAAGATGTGCTTTGACCCTGTGCTCATTTATCTTAGGTATTCCTACCATTAGAGAAACAACCTCATGATTGTAATTATCAACTCCAAAATGACTTATTCTATCATCTATTTCCATTTAGTTCCCTGGCCTAGATCATGTGAACAAACATGAATAATTTTCCACTTGGATCGAGCCTCACTAAAATCTTACTTAAAAACACACTAGCATAATTGCCTAATTATAGCAGCCTTTAAAAACTATTATTCACTTAAAGCTGCAGTACTGGAAAAAAAAATGTTATTTAAAACACATTGTGGCTAGGGGCGGTGGTGCATGCCTGTTATCACAGCATGCAGGAGACTGAGGCAGATTCCTGTGAGTTCTAGGCCAACCTGGGCTACATAGAGACTCTACCTCAAAAAAACCACATTCCAGTCTTGGCACTCATTTAAAAAAAAAAGGGTAGGGAAGAGAGAGATATAATTTACTATTTTAAGAGAATCAATTGAGTCTTCCACACAAAATACATTGACAGAAAAAGTGCTCATCAAAACTTAAAACCCTAGAAAAGACGGGATAGCAAAGTAAATAGGACACAACTGGGTCTTATATCTCAGAGGTATGCAATCCAAGAAAAATAACTTAGTTTCCTTTATACACTGACAAACATATCAGCGTATAAGGTGCTCTGGAATTAAATGAAGTAATGAAATGGCTAGCAGAATGCATGCCTCTCACCAGGTGTTTGATAATGTATTTCTCCACCATCCCTCCCCTAGAAAGCTGGCTGTTACCAAGCTATGGTTCTGACACACTGTGTTTAAATAATGTTCACTGGATGACAGCACACAGCAAAATCACTGTGGGTAAAACTGTAAAACAGCTATAAAAAGATATATGACACTAAGAACTTTAATGTAGACTGATACCAGGTGTTGATCACATTAGACAAGTATAAGGAAGAGCCTCACCAATTTATAATAGATTGTCATGATTCAGATGCACCCCTGATGCTGTAACAGCTTACATACTGAAATTCTCAAATGCAGCCTTCTGCACGTTTGTTTTCAAGTATACACTGAGTGGTCTGCTCCGGCCTCATCAGTTCCGTGTTTACCAGATTTTCATTCCAAACCATGGAACAGCACTCCAAATTCCAAAACTTAAATAATGCCAGCTGATTCTGATGTTCCTCTATGAACATTCTTATAGCAGCAAATCAGCCGTGCTATTTAAATGTATATCCCTGGAGGTTCAGGCAGATCAAATTCAGAGTTCCACAGGATTTCAGAGCTAGAGGCTCTAAGGAATTAAGTGGCTTCTTAGAGAGCACAGAACAATCTGTGTTAGAGGGGACCAATATCAAACGCCTGATCCTAGTTGAGTGCTCTTTAAGTGTATCTATCTGCTTCATATGTCCCTGCTTTCCAAAACCCAACAAATATACATACCTTATTTTAAAGGGGAAGCTAAAGAAAGAATGGCTACATGTTTTTTCTACCAACATTACAGCTATAGCATAAAACACTATTAACAAAGATGCAACTTTTTTTTTGGCGACACAGTGATCAAACTCAAGGCCTCTCACATGCTAGGTAAACACTATGTCAATGAGCCATACATACATGCATGCACAAGTGCACACACACACATACACCCCTTCAGGCCCCACAAAATTACAGTTCAATCTCATTTTGTAATTTTAAAACAAAGTGGAAGGCTGGGATTTAGCTCAGTGGCATTGTGCCTGCCTTGCAAGCGCAAGGTCCTGAGTTCAATCCCTGATGCTGAAAAAATAAAACAGTGGAGCAGAGCCTACAAAATTGCAATTCTATCTCATTCATACTTTTAAAACAAAAGTACACCAGAACATGAAAGATTGCCTAGTAACCTTAAAAACAGAAACAACAGGTCCAGGGATTTAGCTCAGTGGTTCCACCACCTGCCTCGCAAGCTCAAGGACCCGAGTTCAATCCCTGGTACCAAAAAAAAAAAAAAAAAAAA